TTTTGTTTTCTCCCACTGACACTTTTGTTGCATGGTCTTTTTTTTTTTTTTTTTTTTTTTTGTGAGACAGGATCTTGCTCTGTTGCCCAGGCTAGAGTGCAGTGACATCATCATAGCTCACTACAACCTCAAACTCCTCCTGCCTCAGCCTCTTGAGCAACTGGGACTACAGGCGGGTGCCAGCACGCCTGGTTAATTTTTCTGTTTTTTTGGTAGAGATGGGATCTTGCTCTTGCTCAGGCTGATCTTGAACTCCTGACCTCACGCAATCAACCTGCCTCAGACTCCCGAAGTGCTAAGATTACAGGCATGAGCCACTGCGCCCAGCCTCATTACATTTTTAACAGGCTAAACTGGCACCATGTTTCATTGTAATCTCTATTTTTTGTAGATAGTAAGGTTCTTTTTTTTGTTTTGTTTTGTTTTTGAGACAAGGTCTCACTGTGTTGCCCAGGCTGGAGTGCAGTGGCTGTTGACAGGTGCAGTCATAATACGCTATAGCTCAAGTGATCCTCCCGCCTCAGCCTTTCCAGTAGCTGGGACTGTAGGAGTGCTTCACCCTGCCCTGTTTCAATTTTTGCTTTAACATTTGTTATGTGTGCAGTTGATCCTCATTATCTGTAGATTCTGTATTTGTGAATTTGTCTACTTGCTAAAATTTATCTGTACCCCCAAAGTCAGTATTGGTGGTGCTTTGGCAGTCATTTGCCCACACGTGGGGAATATTGAACAGTTTGAGTCCCCAGACACAGTGCTCCCAGCTGAGGTGGAACAAGATGACACTCTTATTAGTATTTTGGCTCATATTGTAAACAAGTGTACTTTTCATGGGCTACTTAGTGCCACAATTTTGCGTGTTTTGTTCTTTCTGTTCCTAATTTCACTGTTTAAAGTGGCGTCCAAGTGTAGTGCTGAAGTGTTGTTTAGTTCTTGAGTATAAGAAGGCTGTGATGTGCCTTACAGTGAAAGTATGTGTGTTAGAGTCACTAACTTCAGGCATGAGTTATAGTGCTGTTGGCTGTGAGTGCAATGTTGTTGAATAAACAATGTATGTTAAATAAGTTATCTTTAAACAGAATCATTCATAAAACAAAGTCATGTATCCATTGGTTGATGAAAATGTTAGGCCAGAGGCTCCCAGCAACCTAACCTTGTATTTCTCCTAGGAGCA